AAGTGGTGCATGAATCTGTATGTGTGCACCCATTTACGTGCATGTATGTGCAAATGTACCACTAGGGCAAGAGAGGAAAAGAACATATACCTGTACATCATTTGTGGGGGGCAGAGTATTCTGGAAACACTGATATATAATTGATTGTGTGACTCCAAACCCTCCAAAGCTTCACTACCTTAAAGAGACCCAAACACAAATATCCACCAAAACTATTTTTTTTCTTTATTAAGCCAATTCATTTTTAACATACAAACTTCCTAGATCTCTGGTTGTTTTCATCAGGCAAGATTCTACATCGTATCTAATAGTAAAACTATAATAATATTAATATATGATATGTATATATGAATGATATTCATTCAACTCATGAGTCACCCTAAAGCTGAAACTTTTAGGGAAACACAAAAATAAAGCCAATACAATGAATCTAGTGATAGAAATCAATAATAATAGACACTGTGCAATCCCATGTATGGTTGGACAGAAAAAAGGCATATCGCTCCCAGCATTTGGAGCCACCCACCTGCAAGATGCCAGATAAACAGAATTAACCATTTATGTGAAACTGTAACTGTAACCTCAGCAAAATCATGATTTCTCAACAGTAATGAAGTAAATGAAAGACTATCATGAAAGTTCTTAAAGCGACCCAATTAAAGCAGAGTATGGATTAAATTGCACACAATGGTTCAATGGAGCGAGGTCATTACATTTTCCTCCTTATTTCTTTGCTATCTTGTCATATGCCTCCCATGAGCTTCCATTGTGAAAAGAAAGCAGGACGTTTCCTCCAAAGGTTAGGTATCCAGAAAAACCTATGGGAGAAGATGTCCTTACATATCAAGGAGACTGCTGGGAATGCTTCTGCTCTGTTTCTCTTCCCTCCAGCCCACCCTTGTGACACTTCACTAAATGTGTGGTGTCTCACATTATGCTACATGTAAGAATATAAGCGCCATGCTGTTCCAAGCCAAATACCTGCCTGATCCAACCCCTTGTTTCTGACTTTGCCGAAGTACAACAGAGTGGGGAAATGATTGTCCGCCTGTCTCCCAACGCCGAGACCATCTCCGCCCTTCCCCCTCCCACCCTGACACATAAAACACTGGAGATGCTGAGCAAGCAGTGTTAGCAGAAGAAAAGCCTAAAACAAAGTAAGTTCTATAACACCACCAGTTAATCCTGTGAATTGCAGAATCCTTACTAGCACTCTGGGAACATCTTCAAAAACACACTTATACTTTTATTGAAGTTGCAGGTGGAAGTCATGGTATGAACATGGTAGGACAGATATTCTCAGCCTCTTAGCACCATCAGGAAACATCATGGGTCAGTAATGAAACCTTCCTCAGGTTGTAGTTTAGCCACATCACTTATTTCACCCTCTTTTTTCTTCTTGCACATCCTTTTAGATTTCCCAAATGCTTTTCTTCTCTGGCTTGCTGCTGCTTTGAACATGACAGTCCCTAGGGTGAAGCCCTCCAATTACCTATGTCAGTACGCCGTGCAACAGGTACAGCATTTGAAGACCTCTTATCCTATGGGCCAACCTATCTGAGCAGAGCATCTGCATCATGAACTTTCAGGTGTGCGCAGTGCTTTTCAAATATTTCACCTAAAATATACAGCACTGACATGGGTAAACTCTTTCACAACTTGCCTCAAAGGTCCAAAATGTTTTAATTGTTCCTTAGTTTGTGAAGAAACAGAGCTTTGAGGAGACAGGCTATTCACCAACTTTGCCATAAGGAGGCCTCCTAACCTTGAGGGTATTCCTGCTCTCATTTTTTTAAATTAAATAGTAAGCCTCTAATTCAGCCTTCCCCAAGTCTAATGCCCTCCAGATGTTTTGGACAACAACTTCTACGAACCCCACACTATTCAGTTTATCAGGTTGAAAACGGCTGCTTTAGCCCTTTGATTTAGAGATGGAAATCTAGCAAAAGCTTGGGAATGGTTTTTTACCGAACTGGTTTCCAAGTAGAGGAAAAGTTTCAAACTAGCACAGGACCCCTTGTTCACCAAGAATTTTCTCTTTCCCATATGCTGTATGCCACAATCCTCTCTGCTAAGCCCCCATCATCCTTTTCTGCTTTTCACATTTGTTTCAACTTCCCTTAAAATCACTGTAAAACGTTTAAATATTTACTGCTGGAAAGGGGCTTAATGACATGGTTGCAACATGACTGTGTGCCTCTGAGCATGTGCACAATGTCTTTCTGCACCAGTGAGTTAGAACCAGAAAGCCACCTGTAGCAATATCTGGGCCTAAGGGTAGATGACTGAGGCAGACAACAAGATAGGGAGCTTGGAGCTAGGACTTCTCACCCAAAGACTTCTGGCTATGGGCCTGTGGGAGCCAGAAGAAGTAGTGTAGGAATCTGCTTTGTTTCAGTGCAGAAAGGAATACGGTAAACAATTCTGAACCATTTCAGGTCCTCCATCCATGCTACATTATAGCAAATCAGGCTTCCATTCCCAGTTCCAGCTTACAGCAGATCGGGAATGCATCCGCCCAAACTCAAACTGTGTACCCAGTCTTGGGAATAGCATCCATCACTTCTATTCTTTGTACAGTGCTTGAAGCTGCAATTCTATGCATGCTTAAACAGAAGACTATCCACAGTTCCCAGCATTCTCTGGCTACCCTGTTGGGGAATGCTGGGGAACTCTGAGAACTGGATTTTTTTTCTGTCTAAACAGGCATAAAACTGTGCTTTAAGAAGTACTTCAAGTGCTTAAAAATAAGCAATAATGGTTATTAAGTACAACTGTTACCAGCCAACAACTACTCCTAATATAGCAGGAGTATATACTACTCCTAAGTCTACCTTAGACCATTTAGACAACAGATCTCTTGGTTTGAAGTTAACACGTCCTGCATCTGATAAAGTAGATACTGTTCACAAAAACTCATGGCAGAATAAATTCTTTAGTCTTTAAGGTTGCATATAATTCTGTAGTTTCAACATTTGGTAAGAGATTAAAATAGGATCTGTCTTATTCAGCAGATAAAATTTCCCTCCACCACATGAAAGATAACACAGATTTCATTTCACATTTTTTAAAAATGTATATCTTTCCCAGTCTTGCACTGCTGAATATGAATGTACCAGAACCAAGTCTTTTTGCATAAGGAAAAGATCACCATCCTTCACTAAGTGATTCTAAATAAAAGCTCATACAAAGTTTCTTAAATTAGCCATTTATATTCACAGCAACTACTCTACCAGAATTGTAATAATGGAACATTTGCCATCTCACACATTACATAAGTAAGGTTAAAAACAGGCTTTTGTAATAAACTAGAAATGAAGCTTGATAGATCAAGTTCTGTATTTCCATCCCTGCTAAAGTTCAAGTGCTTGCTAAATCAGGCATAATCTAGTGTTCCAGAAAACAAATGCAAAGTGCCAGATTTAACTAAAAGCAGGAAGATTGTTGCCTGCAATATAAATGGTTATAATACTCCCTAGACTTTAATTCTACTGGCTCTGATGAAGTGCATGCCTGCTTCCCAAAGCCATATTAAAGATACAACCATGCCAGGAATATACATGATACCATTCCTTGCTTAATGATGGCAGCACAAGTCTCTGAACAAGTTTGAAGAACTGCAAAACTCTCCTATCTGGGAAAACCTGGATCCAACTGTCTACTTCATCCCACTCTCTAGACTTCTCCTGCTCTTGTCACCATCCATTCCTGTGCTGGATCTAAGCACCTTAAAGGTAGCAGAATATAAAATGCAGAGCACTTAGCAGGACTGTGCTAATCTGTGTTCTCTGTCAAGAGGTGCTTTTCCTTAAAAAAAAAATTCTCTCCTCGCCCCAATGCTATTTCCTTCATTTGGCATATGAGAGTATCTCATTCACCAGATATCCAAAGTCTTCCTATCTTAACAGTTACCTGAATTAATTTTGCTTTCAAGCCATCCATCTAAATGCAAAAATCTGTTTTAACTTATCAGACCAGGTGTTCCGGACAGAATTTAGAGCTGTCCTTTATCAAGTGGAAAGTTCTACCAGACATTACAGATTCACATTCATCCAGAGTGTATTTAGGATGCAGTCCAATACACACGCACCTGAGAGTAAGGGTCTCTGAGTGCAGTGGGACTTACTTCCAAGTATATGTACACAGGATCACATTGTTAGTCTGCTTTATTTTGTGATGGACGTTGACTAGAACAGCCCAGAAACTTATACTGTGCTTGTCACAAGTTTAACATATGCCATTTTTTAGGCAGGAGAGAAATTGAAATAGAACAGCTATGGAGGGGAAAGAAAAGACTGATCTGTTATTCTGCCAAGAGAACCTTCACCAACCCAATACCCTCCAAATGCATTGGACTACATCTTCCAGCAAACCCCAGTTGAGAAGTGCTAGGAGTTGCTGCCCAGCAAGTTGGAAGGGCATCGGGTTGAAGAAAGTTGGATTTGGTAATTCATCTCAAAGCAAAGGGTGGTTTCATGCATGCCGAGAGATGCAAGAAGATTGTTTGTTTGCGTGTTTGTTTTCCCTGTGCTGTGCTACATTTTTTGATTTGTTGATTTTCAAGCATTTCTTGTGGGGAAGGGCAAAGGAAATTGCAGTGGACAATTACGGTAAAGGCTGAGAATTCTGGAGACTTTTCTCCGTGTGCAAAGATGAAATGTAACGGACGTTTCTCGGTTACATTAGTGCAAAGGGGTGGAGGGCAACACGATCACTTTATCATTTTTATTCTTTATCCTCCCCAGCTGCTTGAGCTTTCTGAAAAACAGTCTTGAGGATGTAACCAGGACTTCCTCAAGTGCTTGACAGTTGAATTTTGAACAAAACAACACACTAAAACCAAAAGTGACCCACTTGGTTTTCAGGCATTATGGCCTGCAGCAGTCCTGAAAGTAGGACTGGATCTTTAAGAACTGCACACATTATCATTTGAGATTATAGGCTGAGGAAATAATGTTGATGAGTTAAGGCTACCAAAAATACATTTATAGCCAACATACCTGGGGCAGTGCAGAATTGAGTTGTCGCTGGAGAGAATCTCTATCATAGATGACATCCTGAAGGCGTTGCTGGGCCAGGGACAGACTTTCCTGGGTCTCTCGGAGTGTGTCAAGAAGACGATCTCTTTCATCCAGCATGTTCACCATCAGCTGCTCAAAGTGAGAATCCGAGTCTGATCCACTGCTCTGGGACCCCCTTTGACTCATCGGGGTGTCCTCGTTTATCGTTGGCATCACTTCGCACATCATGGCTTTGCAGAAAGGAAAGTGGGGATAGAGGGAGGAGAGAAAAAACTGTAAGCACAAAAGCATTTGGGAAGATCTACAAGATCATTTAGAGAAATTGATCCCACATCATTGTGCCGGGTTATGTCTCGCGTTTTTTATGTGCGTGTGTTTTACCATTAGGTCAAAAACTGCCTGGCAGTCATAAAGAAATAACACAATGTTCCACCGTTTCCCAGTATAGTTCTCTTTCAAGAGAGAGATGTTTTATGTTTCATCAGCAGATTGACACAGACAGTGTCCTTTGAAATCATATCAAAGAGTTCATTTTTAAAGTTAGTTTCTTTTATCTGACCTTCATCTACCCCTCAATTTCCTCTGTGTCATCTTCTGCCCATGTAGCTACCACTAATTTCCATATAGCAGAGTCCACCCTGAAGCCAGAATGCAACAGAAAGTCAACTGTATGAATGTTCAGTCAATCTACCCTTCATTGTAGTTTGCCTAGGCAAGGGTCAACCCTCCATCTCAGAGATTCCCTCCAAAAAGAAGGCTAATTGACTTCAATGTAATCTTTTCCTAAAATGGGTTACAAGGAGTATAGAAACACACTTCTGCAAAGCTAATTTGTGCAAAGGTTGTTATAACCTGGCCTAAGGGTAGCTTTTGGAAAAGCAATTAATGTCACAATTATGATAACCTCACTTAGGATGCCTGGTGGTGCACAACACAAGGTAATTTCGCAGATCCAATATGTTGCTAGGTATTTTTCAATAAACATTTATGGCCAGTATCTTAGAAATTCTATGCTAGTTAAAATAAGATTCGCCTTGGAATTGCCAAAAATGAACATGAGCAGAATCATTGTGTCCTAGCTAAAATTATTAACTTAATAATTAAGTTAATTTATTCCTACTCTTGCTTGGGTGCTCTAAATCTTAAACTGGATATGATCAACAGGAAGCAAAAGCTTCTGCCACTCTCTTCTAAGGGGGTCTCATCAAGAGCACTTGGGGACAGATATTTAGAGATGAGATGCCTAGGACAATTGCATATCATTATGTTTGAAACATCACTCCACTTTAATTATTCAATTAGTGTTCAAATTGAATCAATAGGAAAAATGTTTGTGGTAATGTGAAATTTCTATCCATTGACCTCCTCACACATGCCATTTATCATCGGATGAATCTGAATACCTAGGACTTTTAATTTCTCCCAAATGAAGGCTCTTCTTGTTCATAGCTGAATATGATACATTTTCAATATCTACAGCAATTTATAAATTTTGTCTAGTAGTGCATCAAAGGGCTTGTAAAGGGTTTCAAACTTGGACAATGCAACCCTGTGAGTATATACTGCAAAGAAAGACCTGCTGAGTTAAATGGGGCTCACTCCTACATATGGGACTGGAATCTCAAAATCTGTCCTATATGCCCGCTGAGGATTTGTGAGTGCTCTTAAGACTAATGGCCTGTTCACCCATCCATAATCATCCCTTGATGCACATAGCATTAAGATCATGACTCACATGTATGAATCAACTACTGCAGATCAAACACTGTTGAACTGGGCTTGTAGAATATGGAAATGTACAAGTGCTGAGCGAAAAGCACTCTCACTGATTGAACCCCTGCTGCAAAACAGGCACTGTGTTACAGATACCATCTCTTCCAGCTAGAAGTCACTGGCCACACTAGATTTAATAAGGCTTTCTACAAGATGATAGACATATGTTCAAAGATCACAAAGGAGTGGCCCAATACTAGACATGCAGCTCCAAAGGTGCGCAACAGCTACAGCCAATTCCTTTCCATAGGAAACTGCCTTCTGCAAGGTTGGAGCATGAGCCATCTAACCCAATATTCTTGCCACTGACTGGCAGCAGCTCTACAGGGCTTCAGACAGACAACTCTCCCAGCAATAACCAGAAATGCCAGGGAGGGAATCCACATCCTTGAACATTCACAGCTGATGTTCTGTCACAAAACTTCCTCCACCAGTGTTCAATAGCCATATCATAAAATGTTCTGCAGTTCCTCTCTATTCCTACAGTGCAGTCATCTCAAACCTGGTGCCCTCCCCATATGTGCTGCACTTCAACTTCCATTATCCCAGAGGTGCTCCTCTACCTCATCTCCTACCTAGAAGAACACACCTGAAATGAACAAACACCAAGGGAGCGGCACATAAGAATTTCATCACAATAAACCATCAGTATTAGAATTGAACAACACCGTCCTCCCATTTACTGATGCTGCTGGCAAGATTTCAGGAAGCATTTCCACACCTGTATAGGAGGAAAGACTCAATCCAGGAAGCACAAGCAAAATGATAGCTAGTGCATTGGCAGATAACAATTGAGATATGAGCTTGGGGTGGATGTGAGCCAAAACTTTTATTGATCTGTTATTTTTGCTGTGTTTGAGTGGATGTGCACCCATGTGCCCCCTCAATTTTTGGGGGGCAAAATAGACACATCGACCACTCTGATGTGTCTATTTTTACAAGGAGAAAGGGGGCAATTTTTAAATGAGTGGAATAAATCAATCTATGCTTTGCAGCATGTCTGTATTCTGTCATTGAGCCTTAGGCCCTTTTGGTGGGACTAAGCAATGTCCAGACCAGGCAATGTACTAGTCAGTTCTGCATGCATGGCAGCAAAGCATGGGCCAGAAAAGCAAGCCATTGGGCTCCACAATAGGAAACTTGAGCAGTTGTTTGATTTCTGCTACCATCTTCAACCCATGAATGCAGTGTTCTTCCACCACAGTCCATTCCTAAAATTTCCTCTAACATCACAACCCCTTTCAGTGCAAAACTACTGTTTGAAGCAGGGAGTTACCCATTACCTGAATGTGACACAACAACTTGTGAAAAGTTTATTGATCCATTATGATGATTTTTTAAAAAGTAGAATTGTTTTGTATTGCTGCTTGTGTATTATAGGCTACTCAGAACACTGTCTCCATTTGGAAAGCAGCATATGCATGTAATATAGAAACATCCTCCTTGAATAAGAAAAAAATGTCAAGCAGGTTACTGCACATTGCAGCTGGACACAGCCACAATGACAGGGAGAAATGAGAAATGTCATAATGAGTGCCTGTGCTCCAAACTTTCTCACCCTGCCATTAATACTAAGGTGATCACTTGCACATTGGGTCTCTGCAAGATGATAAGCCACTCAAGGGTAGGGTCTGGGTTGTCATTGATCCATAAGGTGTTGATAAAAGCTGGACTATATGATCTGAATCCAGCTGTGGTAACAAACCATGTATGTGAGTTAAAAACAGTCCATAGTTCACAACCCAACAACAATCCATGGGGTCTCTTCATGGGTCATTCATGGATTACATAACATGGGTTGCTGGCACAGCTAGGCTCAGACTACATACTCCATGCTTAAGCAACAGTGAAACAACCCTTGAGAATGGATTATCATGCCAAGAATTTTCTCTAACCATTGTTTTTGGCATGGTGGAATGACTGACTGTTAGTGGCCTTGCTACAGAGGTAGCAAGACACCCATCTTGCCCACGGATGCAGTCCCTGTGTGCTTGCTATGGGAGCCACCTGCATGCAACGTCACAGCAGATGGGTAACCACATCCCTGCTATGAACCCTGTGAAGGAAACGGCCATCATTGTTGCATCCCTTATTCCTGTCATGTTCCCCATCTTAGGACATCACAGCCTGCTTGGCATAAGTTGCCAGCGCATTTGCATAGCTTCCTGCAGAGACACAGTGCCAGTCCTCCTGGCTGGACCATACCACTGGACTCCTTGAGGCATGGAAGAGCATTCATCAACAAGACAGCTTGCCGCAGTTATTTTAAAGTTAGCTACACTAGAGGTTTAAGTCATAATAGTTAAAAGGTTATGGTGAATTATATTACAATCCTTTGGAAAAAGACAGAGAGAGACAGTGAGATTTAAATGTAATAGGGTAGGATAGGAAGTATGGTTGAAAGGAAGCTCATATAGCCAGGAACTGTAGTTCAACATCTGATGCATTGTCCTTTCATTATGTTTTCATTCGCCATTTGCGAGTAACTTTCAAGTATGCTTACAATCCCACAAGAAACATGTAATTGCTTTCTTTTGAAACCATCCCACCCCACCACTGGAAACAGTGATGAAGTACCAGGTGTCAGAGATCTCCAAGGGTTCAGCTGCACACCTCCTTCAACGCAGCAATGGAAAAGTGTTTCATACAGCCATATTTGACCTCTGGTCCTCTGTGGTCCAAGAGGATATGCTACTGGTGCGCTAATCCTGAATAAGTAATAAGCATCGGCTGATCAGTGGCTGCACAAAGCACATCCTGAGGAGCGCTTTACATGTTGTACCTAAACAAGGCTGTAGGCCAAGAGTGGGCAGCATCTGCTCCTGGCCTACATTAACGCTGCTCTTAATGCTGCTATTTTCATATGTTCTCTGCATGCAATCGGTTCAGACCGCCAGAAGAGCAGCCTATCCCTTCCCTGGGTGGGAAGGAAAAGGGAAGTAAGGTGACATACAGAGTGAGAAAAGGAATGACTCCGGTCCTGTCAACCAACATGCTTTCCATCTTCCCCAACAGATTCCCCCACCTCTCTATCTTCCCCAAAATAAAAAAAGTAAGAAGAAAGCACAGTTCATTATTGAAGTGAAGAAATTGTAAGACTAAGTCTAACATCCTATAAAAAGTTGAAGAATGTACCTGTTCTATTAAGATTGCAATAATTTGTATGTATAGACAGATTCGAGTCTCATGCTGGCCAGAAAATCCTGGCAATTGAAGAACTTTTTGGCTTTGTAAATCGTCATTAAGTGATCCAGTCACCTATGCCTTCTTCTAATATAT